GTGAGAGAAAATATAAACAATTACTCTTGAGTTTTAGCTTAAACATAGAAAATTTAAAACATTTAGATACTTTTCTCAAGCTAGTCTTTGCTATCTGATTAGAAAATAAATTCTCTAAGGCTGGCAGCCATATCGTTACAGTATGGATGGAACTTGCTGAATTATCCAGAACTTGAAGAGACATTTCACCAAAGAGGACATTCAAATGACCACCAAACACATGAAAAGATAATCAGTGTCATTAGCCATCAGAGAGATACGATTCAAAACCACAATGAGACGCCATTTCACTCCCACTATGATGACTCAAATTTTTAAAAAAGGGAACAGAACAAATGCTCGTGAAGATGTGGAAAAATTGAAAGCCTTATCCGTTGCTGGTGGGAATGCGAAAAATGGTACCACTGTTGTGGAAAACAGTGTAGCAATTCCTTAAAACTAAAAATGGAACTACAATATGACCTAGCAATTCCACTCCTAAGGTACATATCCAAAAGACTTGAAAGCAGAGACTCTAAAAAAGAGACTTGTGCATACCAATGTTCATTGCAGCACTGTTCACAACAGCCAAAAATGGGAAACAACCTAAATGCCCATCAATGGATGAATGTTGTTGTTATTGTTATGTGCCGTCGAGTTGCATCTGACTCATAGGGACCCCTCCTTGAGTTTCCAAGTCAGTATCACTACGGAAGTAGATTGCCCAACCTTCCTTCTGAGTAGTGGCTGGTGGGTTTGAACTGACAGCCTTCTGGTTAGCAGTCAAGTGCCTTAGGCACTACGCTACCAAATGAATGGATAAACAAAATGTGGTGCATATATACAATGGAATACTACTCAGCCTAGAGGAGAAATGAAGTTTTGATACATGTTACAGAATGGATGGAGCTTGCTGAATGAAAAAAAGTCAATCACAATAGGACAAATATTATATGACCTTACTTATATAAAAAGGGAGCTCTGGTGGCACAGTGCCTAAGGCATTTGACTGTTAACCAGAAGGTTGGCAGTTCAAACCCACCAGCCACTCCTTGGAAGGAAGATTGGGCAATCTACTTCCATTAAGATATTGCTTTGGAAACCCAAGGAGGTGTCCCTATGAGTCAGAAACAACTTGATGGCAGTGAGGTTTTTTTTTTTTTTTTTTTTTCCCCTGGTTTATATAAAAAGTCAAAATAAGGCAAATTGTCTCTATAGAGACCAAAGTTTATTAGTGGTTACCAGGGGTGGGAGGGAGGAGGAAAGAAGAGAGGTTAAGAGGGGGAGGTGGAAAAAAATCACATTGATTAGGGATAGGATTGCATAGTCAATAATTATAATTGCTGTCAATAAGTTGTACACCTGTAAAAAGTTGAATTGGCCTAAGTTGCCTGACAAATACGTTTATAACAATGAAAAAAAGAGTAGCTGCTGAGACTACTTACATACAACCTCATGGGATTTGTATAGCTGCTGATGTATACCTCATGGGATTTGGTTTCTTGGTTTGGAGATTTAGGGTCATAGTTTCATGGGATATCTCAATTAATCTGCCTAATAATGTGTTCAGAATAATGTGTTCTGTTCTACCTCCTAGTTTATTGTGTCATGTCTGGGTCTTAAAATTTTGCAAGTGGCCATCCCAGGCACAACAACTGGTTGTCTATTCACTTGGAGCAAGAGAGGAAGAAGGAAAGTCAGGAATAGGAAGAAAATATGGACTATGTGGCTAATAGCCACCATGAACAACTGCCCTCTTTTCCCATGAGACCAGAACTAGGTGGTGTCTGATTACCATTACTGAACATTTTAATCGAAGATCCTATGAAAGAATCCTGATCAAAAGGGGGAAATTGTAGAACAGAATTTCAAATTCTCATGGGTTCTAGACTTTCTGGAGCCATGGAGGCCAGATGAACCCCTGAAACTTCAAACCTTAAATCAAAAATATTCCCTGAAGTCCATCTTAAAACTGGACAATAGTGTTGTTGTTGTTGTTGTTATGTGCCATCGAGTCGGCCCCGACTCATAGCGACCCCTCCTTGGGTTTTCGAGGCAGCATCACTACGGAAGTAGGATTGCCCAACCTTCCTTCCGAGGACAATAGTGTAGCTCAACTGTAAAAAAGATCTGCCTTTAGTATTATGCTCTTTTAAGAACTATCTATATGGAATCAAATTGACAACAGCAACTCAAAAGATCAGATAGGAGCCTTAGGGGGTCAGTGAGTTTATGCCAGTGAGGGAGGAACAACTCAGAAAAGGAGGATGAGGATGGCTGCACAACTTGAAGAATGTAATCAATGTCACTAAATTATACATGTGGAAACTGTGGATCTGGCACATGTGTTACTGTGTACATTCTCAGCAACAACAAAATCAATAAAATTTAGAGGAAACAAAAAACTGTAGTAAGGTGTAGTTTACATAGCAGTCTCTGCTTTCCCACTCCAGTAAAATACAGCCAGGGCCTATTCAGCAACAAGACACTGCAAGGACGGTGCCTTTTCATTAAATATTAGAATTCAACTTTTGACTAACCAGTGATCCAGAAGATGAAGAACCAGAGTTGTCATTGTCTAACAAGATAACCCCAACAGGGTTGGATTAGCTTCTGAGAGCCAACCAAACACCTTGAGGAAGAGAATCACCAACCCTGCAGCCTCAGGACCATAGTCTTGGGAGACATAATGCTCAGTTGGCACAATATAGTATGTAGAAATCTTGTTCTACATACTGCTTTGGTGAGTAGCCAACTGGGTTCTTAAAAGCTTTCGAGCAACCATTTAAGATGCAACTACTGGTCTCCTCTTGTCTGGAGCAAAGAAGAGTGAGGAAAATCAAAGTCATCTGGAAACAATTTGTCCAAAGATATGACAGATCATGAGGACCTCAGCCTTCATGACCAGAAGACATAGATGTGCCTGGCTACCAATGCCAACCACTCGGAAAGGGATCAAAACTGGAGATCCTGGATAGAGTGGGAGGGAAAATTTGGAAGAAAATTCAAAAACACAAAAATGACCAGAATTACTGGTTGGATAGAGATTGGTGGAACCCCCGAGGCTATGGCCCTGGGTAATCCTTAGGGCCTAGAAATGGACTCACTTCTGTGGATTGGCTCTCAGCCCAACAGTAGAAAGACCTATATGGAGAGCACTTATTCCAAGGAGATGCACCCACCTACTCTAGGGATAGTCACCCCTTGGATCAATCAGCCACAAGACATCCGAGGCAGCATTCACACAGAGGGAAAGCTGGACAGACAGGAATGCATAAATAAGGGCACAAGGAGAGGGTAGTCACAGGGAGGAGAAGAGAGCAGAGTTTTTTATGGTTGTGGATGGTAATCAGGGGGCCTGTGAAATCAAATGTGCATGAACTGTTGAATGTAAAACAACTCTGCTTTGTAAATTTGCACCCAAAGCACAATTTAAAAAATAAATAAATAACAAATTAGAAATAAAAAGATAACCCAAGGGAAGAGGGAGCCTGATTTTCCTATTATGGTGCCTGCGAGAGACAAATTTCCCATTTGATTTTATGCTACCATTAACTAAATGAGTTTGTTTTCAGTGTTCAGTTTGCATGAATTCGCACATAGTTGAAGTGAGGGGTCCATAATTTTCTCCTAAAGTTCAGGCTTCCTAGCCATCATTTTACGATGACTGAAAAAGGACATGTGGAGGTGCCCCCCCCCATGTCACCTGCTTTTCAGATATAGAATTTAGAAACTGATTATATTTTGAAAGAAAACATAAAAGAGGGAGAAGGGGAGAGAGATGTGAGAAAAGAAATCAGGTAACCTATCCCCTCACCCACCCGTCTGTTTATCCTATTGTGATGGCTTGCTTGTTGGTATGTTGTTGGCAGCTGTGCCATGGGCATTTCAAATATCAGCATGGTTTCAGCAGAACTTCCAGACTAAGAAGGAAAGCTTGATGATCTGCTTTCAAAAATTAGCCAAGGGAAACCTTGTGGATCACAGCAGAGTCCTGTTCAATATAGTGCTGGAAGATGAGCCCCTAGGTTGGAAGGCACTACACAGTAACCACAACAAAGGACTCAAACATACCAATGATTGTGGGTTGGCACAGGACCGGATAACTTTTCCATCTGTTATACATAAGGTGGCCTTGAGTTGGAGCCAATTGGGAGGCAACTAACAAGAACAACAATCTGACCCCAGGGCAGAACTAGTTTTGTCTCCTTAGGAAACACTGCTCAGAACTTCTGGGTTTCATTTTTACTTGAATTCGAAGTTGTTTAGAAAGAAGTGAAAAGAGTATAGGTTCACACACATTCAGACTCACACACTCACACAAACACCCATACAAATATCTACAGTATATTTATGAGATGGTGTACTACAAACAAGAAATGAATTGCAAGTGACAATGAAGGGACAGCCAGAACATAGAGATAATGCAGAAGAGCAATCTTTGGCTCCCGAGCGAGCACCAGGACTATTACTGGGTTCCCTTGAGCGCTGCCTCTGGAGGAATTTTAGACTCCACAGCAGGGCGTGGTTCGCAGCAATAGTCCCTCTGCTAGGACCTGCTGGATCTTCCTCTCCGCCCTTGTTCACCCTCCTTCCTTCACTCTCTTCACATTCTTTCCCCCACCTTTCATTGGAAGCTGGGTCCTCTAGACCACCCCCTCCAGCCTAGTGCCCCCGCAGATGCTTGCCCACAACCTGAGGAGCTTCTCCAACTCTTCGGCTTGAGGTCTGAAAAGCATCTGTTTCGGTCGGACTCTGACACGGATGCCTCCTAGGCACCCTTGGTTTTTTTCCCACCCGTCCTGCTTCGTGTGCGGCCTACCAAGGCCCCGCGTTTACTTCTCACAGGGGAAGAACTTTCCCAGGGCCTTTAACGGGATGGCCTGTTTGGGAGGGGGTGGGACGCCACATACAGTCCCAGAGATTGTTTGGGGAGTAGGACAGCTGCGCGGTCGCCTCACATTGCGGAGGGGCGAGAACAGGACTCCAGGCCCTGGTGTGCATGGCTGAGTGGAGTCGCTTCACCAGGCTCTGACGTCCTGTAGCGTGGCGGGCAGATGGCCCTGCGGACTTCCTCCTGGACCCCCTCCGCCGAAGCTCCCGAGTGCCAGAGGTGCAGGCGGCACCGGGCCCGGGGACACGCCGGTGTAGCCGCCGCAGTACCCCGCGCCGCCGTAGGGGCCACCAGTGTAGCCTCCGTAGCTGGAATAGGAGGCTGCAGCAGGGCCATAAGGACTCGGGAAGGCCGGCGCGCCGGGACCCAGGCAGGGCTTGCCGTCGCGTACCAGCACGGGCACTGCCACTCGCCGCGGCGCTAGGGGTTGACCCGCCAGTTCCAGAGACTTGTCCTGGCGCTGCCTTTTGCACTTGTAGCGCCGGTTCTGGAACCAGATCTTGACCTGCGTGGATGTGAGCTGCAGTGCACTGGCTAGGTGCTCCCGCTCAGGTGCTGACAGGTACCTCTGCTGCTTGAAGCGCCGCTCAAGCTCCAGCACCTGAGTCTGAGAAAAGAGCACACGCGGCTTCCGCCGCTGCCGCGCCCTGGGCTGCTCCGTGCCGCCACCGCTGGTGCCAACGCCGGGCTCCGGAGCTCGGTTCCCGCTGCTGGGGGGCGAGGCCTCGCTCAGGTAGGGCTCTAAAAGCACAGGAGGGAATACCGTCAGCACCCAGCCTAAGCAATTCTTACGTTGTTGCTTCCAAGAGATCTCCGTCCCGGAAGTCATTGTTTAGGAAGCAGTGCATTTCTGTTTATGGTAATGGCAAACTTGGCATGGATTATTGGTGATGGTTGTACATGAGTAATGTAATTGGTATCACTAAATTGCACACATGACATTGAATTGACCAACGTTGTGATATATCAAAACCAAAAACAAACTCACTGCCGTCCAGTTGAATCTGACTCAGAACGATCCCCTTTGGGTTTCCCAGGCGGCAAATCTTTAGGGAAGTAGATTTCCCAGTCTTTCTTCTGCAGAGTCGCTGGTGAGTTTGAACCACCAACCTTCTGGTTAGCAGCCAAATGCCTTAGGCACTAAGCCAGCAGAGCTCTTTTTCATATTTTCATATATATATATATATAATCAAGCCCAAACCCCTGTCATTGAGTGGATTCTGACTCAGAGCAACCCTATAGGACAGAGTAGAACTGTCCGGAAGGGCTTTCAAGGCTATAACTCTTTATGGAAGCAGACTGCCAAATTTTTCTCCAGCAAAGCAGATGGTGGGTTGGAAGTGCCCACCTTTTGGTTAGCAGCTCAATGTTTTATATCACACTTATATGAGTATATAACATTAATAGATTGTGAGCATATCTGTAGGGAGCATTATCATTGGGGATTTGATGAGGATAGATACATGAAGTGTATACATTCATTTAGCTATCAAAAGGTAGAATTAAAAAAATACTTAACTGACTTTTCAGGAAGAATGCATTTCCATTGAGTGTTGGATTTATTGCAAAAAGACAAGAATGAAAAGCATGTGTGACATTGACCTATAGAAATTATTCAAAAAAATTAACAAAACATTAACAGACAAAAAAGAGAGACCTTCCTTCCCTGATAGCCTTCGCTGGGTGAGCCCTTTTTTGCCCTCCTCTTTCTTGCTGCCCTCCACTTGCCTCCGCAAATGCCCATCTAAATGTCCCTTCCCCCTTCTGAGCTCTGTCACCTTTGTAGGTTCAATACCAGGTAAATTGTGATATTCTGTGGTCCATGGTGTACACACGGTTTCCCAAAAGATAAACTCTTCATAAAGCATCGAAGGCAGCTCTGTTCTCTTCTTAGAATGTATATGTATAAGTGGGAGGGCAGTTTGCTCTGATCTCAATTCTCAAGTGTGGCTGAGTCTGGGAAAGCTTTTGCTATGAGGATCAAGTGCTAGTTTGGGCTCTAACAGGCACTAAATTCGAAAGGTTCTTGGAGAAGAGAGATAGGGAGAGATAAGGACACAATCTGTCTCCAGACACACCTGCTACAGTGTCCAAAGAAGGCCAAGCTCTGTAAAGTGTTTGTCAGGAGGCTTCTTTCTGTCTTGATGTCATTGTTCACAGTCCCCACGGGAATCCCAGGATATTTAGTCACCAGACTAGGAACAGGAGTTCTTGAGTGTATCTCTCACCTTTGCACACAACCCTGTCTTTTTAGTCATCAAGAGCTCCACCAGCACCAGGGGCTCATCTCATCTTTTTTGGTTCTGTAATCCAAATTAACAAAAGGAAATAAAACGAGAAAATATGTCTTGACTCTTCACTGGAAACAAAGGTAAACTTTAAGGGGTTTATGAAGCTGAGATCCACATTTGACTTTTCACAGAAGTGGCCTTTTCTTTCCTTGGGGTTTTCCAGTGAGGCCGGTGGCATCGGTTTACTCCTTCATGTCCTCTTTCTTCAGAGGTAACATCCACTTGGACACGCGGAGACGGCTCCAATCTTAACCAGTTAAAACACGCTCCAGGCACCGAATGCTAACCTTGTGCTTCAAACCCTGAACCCGTTGCCGCCGGTAAGTCGAACTGCCCCATAGAGTTTCCAAGGCTTTATGGAAGCAGACTGCCTCATCTTCTCCTGCGGAAAGGCCGGAGGATTCAAACTGCCAACATTCTGGTTAGCAGGCAACCACCTAACCATTACGGCCCCAGTGCTCCTCAAGCCCCGCCAAGATGCAGCCTTTTCTTCCCTTTCTCCCTGACTCTCCCTGGTCTTGGCTTGCGAGGTATTTTAACCCGAGGATGGGAAGAAAGGAAACATTGAATTTTAAAATGAAAACTCACGCGGGGTGGGGGTGGGCTACGACCAGAAGCGTGGAGAAGCTACAAACTATCATGAGGGGGACAGGGCCGCCTCAATTAATTAGAACCTGTGCGTGCGCGTTGGAACCCGACTCCAAATCCCCAAATGCAATGGCATAGATTCCGGGGGGAATAGGGCTGTTTGATATTTGACGTTTGAAGAAAGTAAAACTTCTGTAAGAGACGCCTGCACTCAGAGCCTGCGTCAGAGAAATTGAGGACTTCTTTCCTGGCAAAGAGGAAAGATACTGACGGAGCTTCGTTTTCTTCGCAAATCAGAAAATAACAGCTGACTTCAGCGATGCTGTGGAGCAAGCAGCACCTCGTTTCAAAGTCACTGAAGACGGAGACCCGGGGCTGTGCGTGCGGGACAGGGATTTAGCTCGCTCTGGGTCCAGCCCCGCGCCCGCCCTGGTACAAACTTCCGAGCCTCTCGGGTTCCAGCGTTTGAAGTCGGGGCGGAAAGATGGCATGCCGAACCCCTTGCACGCAGCGCCGCCGAGGGTCGTCAGCTTAGCTCCTGAGCGGGGTTGGGGGTCACTCCTGGTTGTTCACGATCGATCGTCAGCAAAGGAGGAACGGGTGTCGCGAGGCTTTGGCTGCAAGGTGACTGAGGTGGTCCAAGGAACGTCATCCTTTCTTACCAAAGCGAAGTGAAAAGCAACGTCGAGAGAGTTTCTCATCATCCGCTACAGAAAACACACCAGCGTCTTCTCGAGCACCGCAAAAGTTCTTTGATCTCCAAGCGCTCGCCAAACCAGCCTGTTAAATCGGCGAATAACTCTGCACCAAGCTCTATATCATTTTATTTGTTTGGTTAATCTGCACTTTGAATACGCTAGCCGTGGCTCGACTGGCCGAGGACACTCACCCTACCAAGCGTTCACGTCTTTCCGGGTTCCCCAGACTCGCTCGAGACCGCGGACACAGGCTCAGGGGTGCAGCGAGAGGAAGGGTGGCTTTTTCATCCCAGGGAATGCAGAGCCTTTCTGAGGAAGCCACCTGCAGCGCAGGAGCCGACTCAATAGAACACCTGGCCTTTCTCTTTCCTTTCTAAGGGCAGGTGGAGGGGCTCGACGTTGCGCCCTCGGTGACCAGGCGCCTGGAGCTCGGCCTGGTCTCCCGGGGCAAGTAAAACCTAAGTTTGCCTTAACACGCTCCCAGACGCCTTCCGCCAGTGCCCGCCAGACCCAACCCGAGGGATCCAGGCACCACCTTGTCCCCCCATCTCTGGTCTCCCTCAGAGGAAGATCTTCGGCAGAGGAATTCGGGCTGGCGCAAGCCATTTGGCAAACCCCAAGAAAGAACCAGGCCAGGACTGACACCCAGAGCCGACTAAGGTTCCACTTCCAGGCACTTCCGCTTTTCAGGAACTTTTTTTTGCACGTGGTTTAGGATAGAGAAAGACTCGGATATGGTAGAGAAGAGTTCTTGCTTGTTTATGGGGAGTGTGTTGGGCAAAGCTGAGCTATTGTGGGGGCTTTTGCTGTGGGAACGAGAAGCTAGATGTTCTGGGAACTGGCTGTGAGTGGGGGTGATGAGTTTTTGTGGGAATCAGAAGAAAGGCTGTGAAACCGCGAAGCCCTGAGTCAGTGCCTTTAGTTGGGGACATGTGAAGCACACAGGATATCTAGATGGGATGGCAGTAAGGGTTGAGAGACCTGACTTTTGGAGTCTTCAACTGAGGGAAAATGGTGAACGGCCCTTGGAGCACAGGAATCTAGGACCTGAGTCCCACCGCCCAAATCGGCAGTGACCTCCCCCAATAATATTCTGGCAGGAGCCAAGAACCGAGCGCCTACTCACGTGGCTCCTCCGCCAGTTCCGCGTCGGTTTCCAAGACTGCTTCACCGTGACCCTCCGGAGGCTCTGAACCTTCCAGCCTCCTGTCCCCGCCGCCGTCATCGGTGTTGAGAAACTCCCATCCGCGCGGATCCGAGTCCAGTCGCAGGTAAAGAGAGTTTTCCGGGTTCCTCCGAGCCCGGGAGAGTGGCGAGGCCTTGGGGCGGCTCTGCTCGCGCTCTAGCCGCAGGATGTCATTGACTGAGAAGGGGGTGGAGGTGACGGGGCTCAGCAGCATCCTGAAGGCAGAGAGGATGGGGCTAGGGTGTTCTCAGTCCCTGTGGAGCGTAGTTCCCTAAACTTACCCTTTTCTCGTCGCTGCAGGTTCGGTGGGCCCCAGCCTGAGGACAGACGCCCTGCGCCGGGACCGTGTTGGGCCATTTCTGTGGGCCCGGGGCTTCAGGACGGCAGGACTAAACCGCCATCCCCATTGGTTCCCGCAGAAACCACGTGCTAACACTGCACCTCCCCCACCCAATCCCCCCATCTTGAGCTTTCGCCTCAAGACCTTCTAATCCTGCCAATCACCAGCACCTCCCAGGGAGATTTGGTTCTTATTGACCACTCACAGAAGCACGGAAAACCAGAGAAGGTGCTGCGCGGGCGGCTTGTGACTCGGTCGACACGGTAATAGCTGTGGTGGTGATCTGGAGTTCTGGGGTCAACCTAGGTTCCGCAAGGACCTCTAGAGGATAAGCGGGGGCCGGGTTAGAGTCCTTGTGCAAACTGACATTGTCCATCCAACCTGGCCTTTGAACTCTCCACTTCTAAGGCGAAGGGCGACCGGGCACTCGCGGGGTTTAAGGGGCGCCTGGCAGTACTTGTAGCCCGGAGGCCGGGAGAGCATCTCAGCTCCCAAAGCCTGGACAGTGGAGGAGGAGCGAGACAGGGCCCACTAGAGAGAGCCTAGATTGGGGCGGAAGTGTCTGCTGATGTCTTAGCGGTGACACCACAATCCGGGTCTGGGTGCACCGGACCAGCCACTTCCCAGGAGGAGCTACCAGAGCGGAGAAGGATCTTGAGGGACGTGGTGGAAGGAGCTCTGATGGTGTAGTGCCTAAGGCATTTGACTGCTAACCAGAAGGCTGGCGTTTCAAACTCACCAGCCACTGCTCGGAAGGAAGGTTGTGGGTGATAGTGCCTTGGAAACCGAAGGAGGGGTCTCCATGAGTCGGATCCCTTTCTATGGCAGCTTTTTTTTTTTTTTTTTTTTTTAACTCCGAGGATGGGGAGAAGAGATGGTTAACAGCCCGGCCGGGTGCAAAAGTCTCAGAGAGGGGCTTAACTCACAACTCTTCCTTTTTCTTCTCTACCTGCGCTTTGTCCTCTCTAAAGCTGATTGCCTTCAGAGTGCTTGCGTGTGTGCATGGAGCCCAAGAAACTAAGAGAAGTTTTGATGATTATTAGCTCTCCAGAAAAGCTCCTGGGACACAACCTGCGCCATGTAAAGGGAGGCAGTGTGGTCCAGTGGATATGAGCATGGAGTTCGGAGTCAACAGATCTAGCCTTTGCTCTGGAATATATCCGTTGTGAGCTTTTGGACAAACTAACTTTTCTCAATTTTTGTTTAACTACAAAATGGAGATAAGAATTCACCTATCGTAGGATTATTGGGCTGTTGCAAGAATTAAGTGATATAATGTATGAAATCATCAAAGAATGTCCACTGCTAATATTATTCATGCTACAGGAATCAAGGAAACATGGTGAATTGTCACTGTCCAAGACACAGAATCAAGGAGTGTTTAAATGTCTTTGAATCAAAATGGGATCTTGTTAGAGCTCTTTTTAAAGTTTCAGCAAATGTTTCTTAAATAAACCTTATGCAAATTCAGTATTCTAAGGAGTGTGGAGTATCCTAAGGAGTGTGGGAGCTCTGGTAGCATAGTGGCTAAGACACTTGACTGCTAAGCAGAAGGCTGGTGGTTCCCACCAGCCACTCCTTGGAAGGAAGATGGGATGATCTACTTCTCTACTTCTGTAGTGATACTGCCTCGGAAACCCAAGGAGGGGTTGCTATGTCTTCTGGATAGTTAATGGCACGTAGGGGTGTAGGGGACAGCAGCATTTTCTTTTTCCCCTGAAAGAGACAGTGCTTTGTCATGAGAACTGTTGAAATCTTGATGATCCACACATTTGTTTAAATTTTATTATTTTATTCTGATTATAAAAGTAATCTTGCATACCTTGAACAACACAAAAATAGGGAAAAGTGGGAAAGAAGACAACCATCTGGAGATAACATTTTACCACATTTCCTTCTATGAATATTTTATATATATGAGACCATAAGGTACATGCAAATTTAAAATTCACATCATAAGCATGTCCACCACTTTAGTTTGGACAAATATAATTTTGAATGACAATACAATAGTCCAAATTATGGATGGATCATAATAGACTGTGTTTATGCCTTTAGATTTTTTTTATCACTGCAAACAAAGGTTCAGAAAAACTTCTTTGTGCCTTCATCCCTGTGAACATTTCAGATGATTTCCTTAGGACAAATGTGTAGAAGACATATTAACGAATCAAACACGTTAATGCTCATACAACATATTACACTCACGACTTCCCAAAAGAACAATACCATGTATCCACCTCCCTGAGGTGCAGGTAAAAATCGATCTGGTAGACCAGGATATTCACAAGCATGGGAAAGCACAGATAGACCAGGAATTTATAGTATTTCCATTCAGCGGGCTCTGGGTCGGTGCTGTGCTCCCGTCCCCTCCAGTAGATCCAAGACCTCTGGATTCAGTTCCCACCTTCAAAGGGCGATTGAGGAGAAGGACCCCCAGATAAAAACCTGATGCCACAGATCTGCCAGCATGTAATCAAATAGTGCAATTCTTGCAGCAAACCGTCACACTGTAGAAAGTCATAGAAGAAAGATCTCCATAGGAAAGACTTGGAATAAAAAACCCTGAGTTCAAATCCTTCTTGAGTTTCCAATGTCTTTCTGACACCTTTATGCTATGCAAACCCAAGTTTTCCCTAGGAAAATTACTTCGTCGGCTCAGACTCAGGCGCCCGCTGGTCTAAACCTGAAAGATGTGTGATACCCGCTTGTTGGACAACCCCACCTGAAAGGAGAGACGTTGTCCTTCGGACGCGCAGCGCTTCAGGGAGGGACCTTGGAACTCGGTGCTAGAGCCTCAGCTCCGGGGTTCTCTTCGCTCGCCCTATCGTGCCCTCTCTATGCACCTCCGGTGTCTCAGCGCCCCCTGAGCTCTGGGCTGTTGAGGCAAACAGGGAGCCTGTCGATCCTCCCTTTCCCTTTCCCCTTCTAGCTCCAGGGTGCAGGAAAAGCGTCCGGCGTAAGAGTGCAGCTAATAACACTAATCTCGCCTATTCTGGGTCAATTGGAGCGGGATTAGCGGCTGCCCGGCGGTTTAAGGACAGCCCTGGGGACCTGTCGAAACGCTGGGGAGGGCTGAGGGGTAAGTGAAGCGCGGTGACTAGAGCCCAAAAGCCTCGAAACTGGAGGCTGTTAATTACGGCTGAGATTCGCGCAGCCCAGACAGTTTAGTGCGGAGTAGGGGGTGCTGGTTACTGGTGGTGTGTGTGTCCCTCGCTCGTGAGTGAGGACGTCCTCATCTCTGTTCTTAATATGAAACGGCCTACTTTCATGCATAACATAAACTCTTTGAGGTAGTGCCACTCAGGTGTGATTGGATCTGTCTGTCATGCTCCAACCAGATCACTCATATCACGCTCAAACCAATGCCAAGCCCAGGAATGTGTTTTGAGCCCCGGTCATGGGCCAGGCACTGCCCAGGCTCTGAGGATACTGAGGAAAGAAACTGTTGTAGCCCTTTTATTTGAACTTGCATTCTTGCACGGAAGGCAGACTTGTAAATTATTCCCATGCAATGTGATACCTTACACACTCGTAGGGAATTTGCCCAAGATATTCTTCATTGAGCCACATCCCATCCACACTTACCGAAAGTCTTTCACTCCTCCTGTTTCCTCCAATTGCCTCTTCCAATTCAATACACAACCAGGCTATTCCTGGTAGAGTGTGGCACTGGTGGAGTCCTTGGGTTGCAGTTTTCTCATTATTGATCCTGGAGTTCTTTCCACAACATCCCTTTGTCATTATCACAGGAGCCATTGCTCTTCACCTCTGCTGTCTCCTGCTCCCACTTGAATTCCCTCAAGTGTTGATAGGAAGATTTGCAAAGTAACTGGGAATAATTTGGCAAAAAGAACTGGACCTTTTATTAATAGTTTGTTTTTAAGATTCTTATTTACACATTTACATGTCATCTCACCAACTTATAAAATAACCCTGTAAGGTATGTAAGTAGGACCTTTGGTGGCTTAGTACCTAAGGCATCTGACTGCTAACCAGAAGGCTGGTGGTTCACACCCACCAGCCACTCCTTGGAAGGAAGGTTGGGCAATCTACTTCTGTAGAGATACTGCCTCAGAAACCCAAGGAAGGCTTCCTGGGAAACCCAAGGAGGGCTTCACTATGAGTCCCGTCTGACTCCAAGGCAGTGAGTTTTTTTTTTTTTTTTTTTTTTCTTTTTAAGGTTTGTAAGTTAGCTATTATTTCTAGTTTATAAATGAAGAAACCAAGACAGAGAAAGGATAAGATATCAGTTTTGGGGTAACATGTATCTCCTTACCTCTAATACAGAACTCTTTCCTTTAGAGTGCACAGACTAAGTTTTTTAGTAATTATCTTTTCATAGTTTCTTCCTCCTGCTTTGCTCAGTACATCTTAGTATTCATGTTCCTAAAGAAAAATCCACCATGTTTTTTTATGTTAAAAACTTTTTATTGTCATTTGGGTGAACGTTTACAGAGCAAATTCATTTTCCATACAGCAGCTCATACACATTTTGTTTCATGACACTGACTGCAATTCCCCACAGTGTAACAGCTCTCTTCTCACTTCCTCCCTGTAGTTACCGCTTCCCAGTGTCTTTCTTTCCTATGCATTCTTGCCCCCTGCGCTTTTTCCCTCTACAGATACTGCCCTTCTGTTCTCCCATGATTGATCATTCTAAGGAGTGTATCTACCTGGAATAAATGTTTACCCTATATGCCTGTCCACTGTATACTTTTAAATCCTCCCCCTCCTCCCCAAAAAACCAAACTCACTGCCATTGAGTCCACTGTGACTCATAACGACCCCTACTCGTGTTTCTGAGGCAGTGTCTCTACAGAAGTAGATTGCCCAATCTTCCTTCTGAGGTTTAAATCCCAAAGAAACTCGTA